ATCGGAACTGGTAGGTTCCAACAGTGGTCAATGATGAGATGTGTTCTGAATAATTTAATGCGCATAAGGTAAAACTTGAGGACCAAAACTTTTTGGCTGCTCATACAAAGATACAGTACAAGTAAAAAAAAATTTGATTTAAAGTAAAAAAAATCTAATTGAAAGGAATCAATCCAATTAATTGTAATTTTCTTAAATAGTGATTTTAACAACCTTGTTTGATAAATCTCAGTGAGAAAAATCACCCAAGGGTGGGGACAAAGATAGAGGTATGTGAATGTACAACAAGTACATGTAACTCTCACAAGGTCAGATTTGAAGTGAAAGCATATTGAGAGTACTGGCATGCTTTACATGTACATGTATACTTACATACATGTACATGTAGGGCCTGCTTGTCATGGCTTGGCTTTGCAAATGAAGATTTATGAAGGTTGTCCAAGTTGTCTGCAGGCGCGCTCAGGACTCGCGAGTCTGTGAGCAGAGTCCATAGGAGAAGGTAACATCCGATGTGGTGTCACATGTAGTACATTTATCATACTTTTTTAGATTATATATGTACATGTAGCTATTCAGATAAAGTTGGGTAAACTATTTTATTGAATGAAAAGTATGTTTGTCACAGGATGTACATCAGAGTACATGTACCTTACCAGTGAAAGTTCTATTTTTGGCATGATTTGTGGTTGTTGCCTCCAGGAGAGTCAAAATATTGGACGTGAACCATAAGTTATTCTAGACATACTGGTACTGTACTGTAGGAGCTTGTGAATGACCATAGACAGCTTTCAACTGTATGTACATGTAGGGCCTCGTCAATGTCTTTCACTGTGCCCTTTGGCAACTACCATGAGCAGAGAAGTACTGTACCCTTGGATGTGAATTTATACATGTATACATGTACTGGTATGTACATGTACCTTGTTACAAACTTCTTGCTTGAACAACATGCACAAGATACATGTAGACTAAAGACTTCTGATAGTGCATCCAAAGAGCTTTTATATAGTGCTTTTCCTTTGTACCGGTACATATACATGTACATACGCAAGTTCGTACGTACAGTACATATATAGTGATGGGCGGGACCTACATTTGTCCTTCATTTGTACTCACTAGCATTAATCTTTAAATGTTTCATCAAATTATAAAGGAGATGGTCATTATTTGTGATTTTATTCTTAGTTATAATGACTGTAAATCGGAGTTGATCATTTGTAAAAGGCAGGTTCCTCAAAATATGGACCATTAGATAATGTTCAACTTTGGGGCTTTATTTTTTCTGAAGTGAACAGCAGTGAATAAATTCCTAATGACTGATAAATGAGGGAAGTCATGGCTGATATCTGAACAATGATGATCATGCCCATCTTTCAACTGAATCGAAGTTGATTAATTTAAGTCTTGAACGTCAGCATTTTTGATGACATAAACAACCTGTTGAAATCCTAGCCAATAAAAGTTACTGGGAAGTGATAATACCTGCGGATGTTTTACACAGATTTATATGTGGTGAAAGGTGATAATATTCACACATACATGTATAAAAACATAATCACAAAATTAAAAATACCTCTCCCAAGTAATTGGGTTCCGAAGTCGGCAGTCGTGAACGTCATTCGATTCTGTCAAAAAATTGACTGCAAAAAGCAGTGAGTGAAATCAAAATCGATGTACAACACAAGCTTCAAAAAAAGTTCCAAAAGCACCCCCAAACCCTCATCCTTTTATGACTGGACCACAGTCAAAAATACCGATAGTGGCGATTTTGCGGCTTCTGTCAATATCTCATGATGTTGGAGAAACATTTTGCTGCATCGTGGGCTGTTTGACCTTTGACATCAACCCATTAGTGTGCCCTCTTTTTCATGCGATATTCATGAGCCCGTCCACAGAATGGCGACGCTCTGGGACTTTTCTTTTCGTGCCAAGGTTTCTCAAAAGAAAATCTGTCATGCTGAATGACGTTTGTAAAAAAATGACGTCCTAGACATAAACTACGATTCATGATGCAAACCTAATACTCGGACTTGTTAATTTTAATTTAATTTTTAGCAGGGATATCTCCAAAATAAGCGGCAAAATGTACATCGTGCATGGAATTTTCAAGCACTACATGTGACAGCATTTTTGGCATTCTCAAACATCATGCATTTTTGGTCAAAATTCCTTCAAATATGACGTTCGCAACGAACATATTGTACTCATTATACATTTTTGATGCAGCCAAACTTAAAGATTATTTTAGGTAGTTGAAAGGTATAAGACCTGGTAGATATGCTGGTATAGCGAGAGTGATTATAAACGGTAAGAGAATGAAGAGAGGCAAACCTTTCTCATTTTCCGTCAATTTTGTGCTGTTTTTTTCATGGCTTTTTTTTTTAAAGTTATTTATTAGGTCCTTTAGAATACGTCAGTTGAAAAATATACAGTCGACTCTCAGTAATACGAGCTAGGTTAAGACGAGACTCCGGTTAAGACGAGTATATTTGGGGCCCCCCAGATGCATGCAAATGTATTGTTACCCGTCTAATTAGCACAAGTGGTTTTGAAGGCAACTTGTCAATCAGTCAGTCCATTGAATTCAGAAAGGCACTTCTGTAATTGGAAGAAAAAAAGCGCATCCCTCACTTAATTTCTCACCAAACCCCACGCTGTTTCAAATTAAAACGTACAATACTCCATAATTTATTCGCCCTCTACTGGCTGATCCACACCACCAATAACTGGTTCCTGCCCTTTTTGTGCAACAAGCGCAGCACCGATGTTGGTTACTACCTGAAATGTTAATGTACTTACATACTTGCGTGCATTGTATGACGATCTCATCGCGGCATGCTGGGGACGTAAAACGGCATCACTCTAACCATGCATCCTCCAACTCGACTTGACCGGTTTCTCTGTTCTTGTATTATGTTATTGTTCTTTATTTCAAGTCTTTATTCTTAAAAAGTACAGTTACTTCTCACTTTCATAAACATAAACTGTTTTGAAATTAAATTCCAAACCACATGTGCATGCATATAAAGTACACATAGGTCTACAAGTATGTACACGTAACAATGCGGTTGATCGGTTACACATGCAACAAGCGGGACAGCAGCTTTTGTGTAAGATGAGGTCCGGATAATAGGAGCTAATTTAGAAAGTCCCAAGACCCTCGTATTAACGAGAGTCGACTGTACTGAATTCTCCTTCTTGTTAAGAGAAGTTTTGAAATCAAGTTCTCTGGTGCAGACACTGTGACATAAATTGTTTTATTAAATGAATTCAACTCCATTTGATTTGCACTGGTAGCCAACCAAATGTCCACCGTAAGTACATATCATGCCTAATAACCAGTATCTCCATATAATCATTTTTATAAGTCTGAAGGTGCTAATTTGTATTTTATGTGATCAAAGTCACTCTGTTAGAAGTTTTGAAAAATGACTTGTGGAGCTACATTTTGGTCCATTTTATGAAGAACATGCCATATACCGTATATTAAACGCCTGCTTGTTGGAACCATGAAACCATAAGGAACTTGGCAAACATGCATACATGTACATGTAGCAGCTTTCTGTGAGCCAGGAGAGGACTGTGTAACTTATGCAGGACTACTAGAATTCATGAAGTGTTGGCCTTGCTAGCGTACGTACATTTGTACATGTAGTGGTAGCTACCAATTTCAACAGCTTCACTGTGTTTGCACATGCTGTACATGTATCTACATGTAACTATATAGTGAGATAGTACATGTACTTGTACATGTACATGTAGATTGGCATGCTTTGCTTTATGTTACATTGGATGACTGCAACAATGAGGCTGGGTGCATTTGTCTATTTTAATGGGGTACTAGTTCACTGGTATACAGTATGTCATGAATGTATGTGTACGTGTCTGCATCTATGTGACGTGGGCTGATCTGGAGGGCTTTTCCTAGAAATTTGTTTTTTGCGTGTAAATGCAAACTTTACCGGACTGACAATAGGCACCGAAACTTATTTCACTGTTTGTACAATATAGGTCACTCCTGTGAATTGGAACCGGAAGCAGAAACCCAAGGCACAAAGTCCATTGTTTGTATGTCATGACTAACACACGTACAGTACACGTTCCCTATCAATACTGCTTTTAGATGTTAACTTTTCAATGATTATAATTTGAATTTCATTCCATGCTATGCAGTGCCATGTCATGCCATGTACTATTATTGAACAGGTAGCAGTTAATTCAAAGAAAGCAGCCTCAAGTCTCAGGCTGTGTGAAATTAATTGTTTTTTTTTTCAAATATGAAATGATGTACATGTATGTACATGTATGTACAATGTACATGTATGTACAATGTACATGTATGTACAATGTACATGTATGTACATGTATGTACAATGTACATGTATGTACAATGTACATGTATGTACATGTATGTACAATGTACATGTATGTACATGTATGTACAATGTACATGTATGTACAATGTACATGTATGTACAATGTACATGCTCATATGACTTTGTTCAGCTACATGTACATGTTCAGCTAATGTGTATTTTTTTTATAAGATGTGAATTTAACATCATTCCTGTTAACATATACCTGTATCAAATTCAATTAGAAACAGCCTCATTCCAGCAAACAGTTTTCATAAACAAACCTAGAGATACATCGAAGACAAGTTGTGCATTTGCTGTAGTGAACATGATGGGTTCTGCAAAAAGTTGTCTGCAATACATGCCTGTGGGTTCCTTTTTATACGGCAGTTGTCAGGTACCGGTATCGTTTGATGTATTGCTATATACATAATTGAACGAATTTGTAAAATTACATACAGAAACTTTTAATCCTGTTCTGCATTAGCAGAATTTGATGATGTTCTGCTACTCTGCAAATGTTCACATTTTGGGAGCCTGTAGGTGTTATAAATATTTATTATAGCAATTTTTGTTACATAGATATATCAGTGTTCTATTTTAATACCAAAATATAACACTGCATGTTTTCATATTTGTCAACAGTCACAACAGACATACCACTACATGGCAGGACCCACGGAAGACACTGAGCACTTCCCAGCTCAACAAGGTGAATTCTGTCGCCCCAAACCCACCACCGACATTGACTGCACAGATCAACACCATGACACCACCACCACCTACTGGTAGTCAGCAACCATTGCCTGCTATGCAGGACTTGGGACCTCTACCACCTAACTGGGAACAGGCAACCACTCCTGAAGGGGAGGTATATTTCATCAACCACCTGGAGAGGACCACAACTTGGCTGGACCCAAGAATTGGTAATTCTCATTATTCTAACACTGACAGCATGCATACACGTATTGTAGATTAATGTTGCTACTTTGAGAGTGCTACTTGCAGCTTTAGGATCATATCGTCCAGTCAATCAGCATTTGGATTTAGCATGCACAAAGTGGCTGTTTAGTGTTCACATAAATTTCTGTATTTTCAAATGTCTCTAGTGAAATTTCATTGATTTATAAAACATAATTCAAAGGTCACTTAAATAGCCACAAAATAACAAAAGACACTGCTTAAACACAGCCATCGGGTTTCACTGCCAGATGTAGCCATTTTGTCCATGAGTTCGTCATCATCAGTCATTAAGATGGTACTAGTTCAGTGTTAACATTTGTTATTCCGTTCAAGCTATGCGAGCTCCAGGAACAGTACAGGCAGCTGCAGCAGCCCTGCAGAATACACAGCAAACAGCACAGCAACCAGCTCAGCAAACTATGGCTATATCACCTACTCCAGCACAGCAGGCAAGCAAGGTTCCTGGGCCTGATATATCACTACAGCAGCGGCAGCAGCAGCTGCGGTTGCAGCGTCTGCAGATGGAAAGAGAATGTCTTCAACGACGACAGCAGGAAATACTGCAGCAGGTTAGTTTGTAATGCAGCAAAGTGAGGCAGGATGCCAAGTGTGTTGATTTCTGAATGTTGGACTGGCCGCATGACTACTACATTGATGTCATCTGCTTCTTACATACAATCACAATATGGTTTGATGAAGAGAGATTAATAGTGTGGAATAGTAGGTCTTGAGCCGTAGGCTTCTTCTGCTTGTTCTTTGCAACAAAGAGCAAAATATAAATACAAGTCAATTGACACTGAGGGACCATTAATCCTGCAGTCCTTCCTCAGAATTTATGATGTTGAATGTATTTGATCATGGACACAAATATCTGTATTTGTGTCTTTAAAATAAATTGGTAGCCTCTCCCAGTAGAGATGCTGTATGTAATCTTATAGCTCTTTAGTTCTTCAAAATATACTTGCTATAGATTGTGTGCATAGCAGGAGCACACATGCATGTTTCTGTAAAGTTTTGTTAAATTATATCAGAGAAATATCAAATGACCAACAATTTGACTGCTGGATCAGGGAGACCTGGTTGCAAATCTGACCAGCAGGGAAATTTGTGTGCTGCTAACAAGGACTGGATTACAGTAGAATCATATCTCAATATCACAGGAAAATCATACTGTGGCACTTCTGTTGCTTTGCTATTGAATGGGCATACAATTCCACGCACATCTTTGGTACTTTTTCTTTGTGGCATTTATATCATTTTTACCAGTTCAGGAGCAAACGTTTCTCTGCTGTAGAGCAGCTAGCGTGTATGGTGTAGTGCAATGTCGACGACACTATTCTGGCTGGGATACATAGGCTAGTTGCTGCATTTCCATTATGCCGTCTTTATTGATGGCACGGTGGTAACCAGTGTAGCATTACTTCATTGCACTGAGGATTGTGCAAGTGTTTTCACCACTACAGTAGTGAAACGTGAAGGAAACTTGTGATAATAATCAAAGTTTCTTTTGAAAACTTGTAAATATAAGTAGGAATATAAATACAAACATTTTGATGTGCAAAAAAAGTTGTTTAGAGGTGTTTCGTGAAGAAAAAAGACAGGGTTTTTAATGATTGAAAAAAATTAAATTTGGTTTTCTAACTTTAATACCCATATAAATTTTAGGGTTGCGCCAAAAAATTAGGGTCGGTCAGGAAATCGGAAGCAGCACTATTTTTTTTTGGCTTTATCAAATGATTTACCCATGTGCATTGTTAATGTATATGTACCATACTTCACTCTTACAGATGTTGCTTAATCACCTTCACATACATACCGGTAATTGACTGTAAAATACAACTCCATATTCAGGCATAATGCATACACTTGTGAGTTTGTTGCATATCCAGGTCAGAGGATGGCTCAGCCTCTGGCCTACATGTACATGTACATCATGTTCAAGTAGGAAGGTAGAGTCATCTGTAATAGTAAGCAAGGGTTCGTGGTTTCAAGCCTAACCAACAGACCAAAGGAAATCTGTGATGGATTTGATGAGCCACTCTTGAGAAGAAGGAAATGTTTATTCGATACTATGAAAAAAGCACCTTGTTTGGAAAGAGTAAAGCTGACGCATGTACACTGTACATGTACATGTATGGTACCTCCTGAACATCTGTGTAAGGACCAGTCAATTCTGAATCAGAGCTAGTCTGTCAAGTCTAAGTACCGGTAGTACATGTACATACAGTTCTAGCATAAACTACAGTATTAGCATTTAAAGGAACAGGAAAGACAAAATTTGTCATGATTACGTTACTGTTCAAATTCTTTGACACTGACTGAGGTACTGAAATTCATGAGCCGATTCAATAGTCTGGACTCGTGAAATGACATCTAAGCGCGAGACGATTGGTACTGCTTGAAACTATATGTGGATGCACTTGTTTTCGCTGGGCCAGCAGGGCATAGCGAATGCTCCTCTTGTATCTGGGTGCTTGGTCAGTTTGTCCAGCTACTTTCCTTTCCTTGCAGAGGGGAATCAGGTAGGAATGGCATCAGTCTTTGCATATGGCAGGTTCCTCAAAATATGGACCATTAGATAATGTTCAACTTTGTTGTTCATTTTTGCTGAAGTGAACAGCAGTGAATTAATTTTCAATGTTTGATGTAATGAGGGAAGTCATGGCTGATATCTGGAACAATGATGACCGTGTCAACCTTTCAACTTAATTGGAGTTAATTAAAGTCGCAAACGTTAACAATTTTGAGGGACATGAACTCCCTGTTAAAATCCGAGCCAATAGAATTTACTAAGGAGTGATAATCCCTGAGGTTATTTTACACAGATTTACACATGTATATGTGGTGAAAGGTGATAGTATTTACACATATTAAAACCATAATCACAAAATTTAAAAGTACCTCGCACAATTAATGGGGTCCATAAGTCGGCAGTCCTGAATGTCATTTGATTCTTTCAAAAATGTAATGCAAGTGTAAAAAAAAAATCAACTGCAAAAAAGTGAGTAAAATCCATATATTGGTGTACAACACAAGCTTTGAAAAAGAGTGCAAAAAAGCACCGCCAAACCATCATCCTTTTACGACTGGACCGATCACATTTTCTTCAAGTATGTTCCCGAAAACCGCAGTTCAAAATACCGATCGTGGCCATTTTGCGTCTTCCATCAATCTCTCGCGGTGACGTTAGGGAAACATTTGGCTGCATTGTGGCCTGTTTGACTTTTGACATCAACCAAGATAGTGCGCCCTCGTTTTCGATATTCATGAGCCCCTCACGGAATGGCGACGCTCCACGATTTTTCTCTTTGGAACAATTTTTCTCAAAAGAAAATCTATCATTCTGAAGAACGTTTGCAAAAAAATGACATTCAAGACATAAAATACAATTCATGATGAAAATCTAATGCTCAGAGTTGTTAATTTTAATTTTATTTTCAGCGAAATTATCTCCAAAATAACCGGCAAAATGAAAATTGCACATGGAATTTTCAAGCACTACATGTCACAGCATTTTCAGCATTCTCGAACATCATGCAGTTTCTGTCAAAGTTCTCGAACGTCATCAAAATTCTGTCAAATATGACGTTTGCAAGGAACATATTGTACTCATTATAAATTGTTGATGCAGCCAAACTGAAGATAATTTTTGGTGGTCGAAAGACCTGGTAGATACGTTGGTATAGCGAGAGTGATTATAAACGATAAGAGAATGAAGAGAGCCAAACTTTTCTCATCATTTTCCGTCAATTTTGTGCTCTTTTTTTCGTGGCTTTTATTTTTAAAAAGTTATTTCTTTGGTGCTTTAAAATACATCAGTCGAAAAATATACTGAATTCTCCTTGTTGAGAGAAGTTTTGAAATCAAGTCCTCTGGTGTAAACACTTTGATGTAAAATTTTAAATGAATTCAACTCCATTTGATTTGCACTGGTAGCCAACCAAATGTCCACCGTAAGTACATATTATGCCTAATTATCCCCATATAATCATTATTATAAATCTGAAGGTGCTACTTTGTATTTTACGTGATCAAAGTCACTCTTTTAGAAGTTTTGAAAAATGACATGTGGAGTTGCATTTTGGTCCATTTTATGAAGAACATGTCATATCTTTGTTGCTATTTAATCCAGATTCAAAGTATGATGACTGTAAGTGGTTGCTGCTCAGTGACTGGACTGCTTCACTGTAGCAGTCTTGATTTTAGCAGTCCAATTCTCCAGAAGTTTATATTAGTGGGAAACATACGGTACATGCCGGCTCACACCAATGACACCATCATTTGTGGCTCTGCGGAATGCAGAAGAAACACACGTTGTTGGCATGGTCGAAAAACCATGCTTTTTAAAGTGAAATACAATATCACACGCCTTCTGCAATCACGCATACCTTGCAGCCCAGCAAGCTGGTACGGTACCTTAGTTTATGTCATACCCTTTGTGAAGATTTGTGTTCATGAAGGTAGAATTCCATGGGTAGAGTGGCTTACCAAAACCTTTGCAGTATTTTCTCCTACTTGCCCCAGAAACCAACAGCTAAGTTAAAATATCACTAACCGTCTTTCTTTCGATAACAATTTATATTTTTGTACAGAAATTATACAATGAAAATCCTATTTTGTGTTTCCTTGGAAGGCAGTGTGCACAATTTGCAAAATCTCAAAGATCATCTGGAAAGCACAGTACACCTTATTTAAATACTGCAACTGTTAATGGGTTAATGTTAACTTACGTGTGTGTTTAGCTGTTGGAGGAGTCACTATGAACGGGTAAAAATAAAAGCTACCAATTCACCTTTGGTACACCCAAACACATTAATAAATGATAAAATAGACATAAAACCGCAAATAATTGGCTAAAGGAGAATTTCGATTGGTTTGAAGTTAAAGTTTCTTTCTTAAAAGGAGGTTATATGTACATATACGTCACCATCTCACTGTCACCCCTTAGGATAATGGTATGGTCTCAACCGAGCAGCCCTTGTGCAACATGGCTGTTCGTTTTCGGGCTCTGTGGCGAAGCCTGTTCTGGTAACAAAATCTGTAGTTTCGAGACATTTAACCTCCCATTTTTCCAATCTCAATAACTTCTGATGCCTAAAATGCAAAGGTACATGTAGTTACCACATTTGTTGACTACCTTATAAAGTGTTTACAGGGTTTTCCCTTAACTTTTTTTTTCACTGGCCATCCGGACCAGTAATGTAGACTTTTTTCACTAGTCCGCCAGCATTTTCACTGGTCCGCATCCTTCCCCCTTAATGTTTAAGGTAATTTTTTGTCTGTAGGTTGCCGACTTCAACTTCATAAATAACAGCGTGCACATGGTGCGTATTGTTTACATGATGAGTGATGAGATTAATTATAGATTTCAATCAAGCAATAACCACACAGACAAGTAGGTGGTTAACAGTTGAAAATGGGTTGCTTTATTCACAGTCTGTCAGAAGAGACAGAGAAGGCTCAAAATGATATAACATTTTACATAAATGCGAACCTCTGTTTTCCCTCCTTTCTTTTACAGGTTTCCAAGCAAAATTTTATGTTAAGTTCAAATGAAAAGGTGACAGGT